AACTGACTCCATGGCACCTAACAACAGCAGTGTACTCTGTAAAGTCCAATTGAGTATATCAGGAATCCATGCAAAACGTGTAAACTATTTCCCAGAAAAGGGTTCAGCAAACTTTTCCTGTAAATGGGCAGGCTGCTAACTACAGTCAGTGATTTTGAAATCTCAAGCAGCTCCACAGGAGAAAGATGAGGCTTTTGACTCACATAAGGAGTTACAAGCGTCTGAAATCCACTGGGGCAGTTCTACCCCGTCCTACAGTCATGGTCCATTAAATGGCAATGAATTTGGGGTCCTTTTAGTAAAAGCATGTATTTTAGACTTTGCAGAAGCAAGATCAAGAATATTGCGAAATTATGTAACAAGACAGAAAAGAAATTTCCACACTTTTATTGATAAACTTATATAATATATAATAATTGAGAACAATTTTTAATTCACATCTACTAATATAAATGGAATTCTTTGGTGGGAAATAACATTTAGCTTGTTACATTTCAAAGTTAGTTGTCCTATCTTCAAAACCTGTTCTCTTCATTTGTTAATACTGGCCTTTAATGAGATTGTACATCTTTTACATTATTTCCTGTTTGAAAACTACTTTCCCAGACACATTGTTTTTGTTAGGTATCATACATAGGTTCCAACTGAACTACCATGTGTACAACAGAAGGGACACTATCCAGCCCGGTGCCATCCTCACCATTGCTGTGTCTACCCTTTGCTGGAGCCACTGTGTCAGTCCATCTCATTAAGGGCATTCTTTTTCACTGGCCTGCTTTATGAAGCATCATGTTCTTTTTCAGGGACTGCTCTCTCCTGACAAAATGCCCAAAGTCCTTAACACAGAATCTTGACAGCCTTGCTTCTAAGAGCATCATGGCTATCCTATTTCTGAGACAGCTTTGTTCCCTATTCTGGCCGCCCACAGTGCTTTCAGTACTCTCTGCCAACACCATACTTCAAATGCATCAGTCCTTCTCAGTCTTCTTTATTCATTGTCCTGTTTTTATGGTGTGTGTGTGTGTGTGTGTGTGTGTGTGTGTGTGTGTGTGTTGACTGAAAATAACTTGGGTCTAGGAGCACCTTAGTCTACACGGCAGTGACATATTTCCTTTTTAACACTTTGAAGAAGGTTTGTGCAGCAGATTTGTCCAAAGCAATACATCATTTGATTTCTTGGCTCCTGCTTCCATAGGCATTGTGACTCCAGACGAAATGAGATCCTTTCCTCTGTTTACCGTGATTTTGGCTATGATTGGCCCAGTTGTGAGGATTTGGGTTTTCTTTACACTGAGTTATAACTCAGACTGAAGGCACTAGTCTTTGATCCTCATTAGCAAGTGCTTCAAGTCCGCTTCGTCTTCAGCCAAGAAAGTCACGTCATCTAGATATTCCAGGTTGGTGAAGAACACTTCTTCCAAACCTGATGCTGTGTTATTCTTCACATAATCAACCTCTCAGATAATTAGCTCAGCATACAGATGGAGTCAATACGGTGAAAGGATACAACCTAGTGCACACCTTTCCCGATTTTAAACCATGCAGCATCCCATTATTCTTTTCAAACGACTTAGTTTATGTAGACGTTCAGGTTGAGCACAATTAAGTGTTCTGCAATTCCCATTCTCTTCAATGTTATCCACAGTTTACTATGATCTACAAAATCAAATACCTGCTCAAAATTAATAAAACACAAAATCAAAAAGAGAAAGCCAGATTCACTGCCATTAAGTCAATTCCAACCAATACTGAACCAAAAAGACCGTGTAGAACAGCCTTTTGGGGTCTCTGAAATTTCAATCTTTTACAGAAGCAGACATAATTCCTGCAGAGCAATGGCTGAGGTCAGACCACTGCTTTCAGCCAAGATCCATCCATTGTGGTACAATGATACCCTTTGTACCCCATCCTCTACCAAATATGACTTGGGTTTCCAGAAGTTCCCTGTCAATGTTCTGCTGCAACCATTTTTTTATTATCTTCAGCAAAATTTTACTTACATATGGTATTAGTAATATGGTTCAATAATGCCCACATTAGCTCACCATCTTCCTTTGGATTGGACATGAACACAGTGCCTTCCCTCTCACTTCGCGGATAGCTGTCTTCCAAATTTCTTAGCAAAGACGAGCGATTGCTTCCTGCACTGGATCAGCTTTTAAAAACATTTCATCTGGTATTCTTTCAATTTCTGGAAACTTATATTTCACTAATCCCTTTATCACAGCTTGTACTTCTTCCTTCAGTACCATTGCTTCATGATCATATGCTACCATTTGAACGGGTGGAACATTGATAAATTATTTTTGGTCACGATGACTGTGTATTTCTTCTATCTTTTTTTCAGGCTTTCTCCGTATTTAACCCCACTGAATTTTTCAATCTTACAACTCAAGACATGAAGTTTTTCTTCACTTCTTTCAAATTGAAATGTGCTGCACATGTTCCCCCCACCCCGCCCTTTGGTTTTCTAATTCTTTGTGTTTGCACATTTTTTTCAACAACACCGGAATGCATATATGTATAATAGATTGTGCTTCACTTTGTCTTCTCAAGCTGCCTTTTGAAATCTTCACTTCAGCTCTTTTACTTCATCGTTTTTTTCCATTTGCTTTAGCAATTCTAAATTCAACAGCAAGTCTCAGTGTCTCTTCTGACATCTACTTTGATTTATTCTTTCTTTCTCATCTTTCTTTCTCATCTCTTGCTTTCTCCAAATATGCTGTAATTGATGTTATCTAAACACTTGTCTGATCTTCAGTCATTAGTGTTCAATGTGTCAAATCTGTTGTTAAGATGGTTCCTAAAGTCAAAAGGGTTATACTCTAAATCATATTGTGGCTCATGTGGATACGTTAATAGTCTTCATCTTCAACCCAAAATTGCAGACAGTCTGTTCTACAGTCAAGCCCGGCCTTTTTTATTGGTTGATAATGTTGAGCTTCCCATAAATGAAGTCAATTTGATTCCTGTGTATTTCAGCTGTGAGGTCCACGCATATTGTCCCTATTTATATGGTCAGAGGAAAAATGGTATTTGCAATAAGAAGCTGTTAGTCTTGAACATGTACTCCCATAATCTCTGGCTTCATGTCCATCACCACGGCCATCTTCTCCAGTTACAGATCCTTCCTCTCTGTTTCCAGCGTTCACAGTTCCATCACCTGTAATTATCACTGCATCTCCGTCATCAGGTGTGAGCAATTAATAACTAAAGGAAATAGTAGATTTCTTCCATTTCTACATCATTACCTCTAGTGGCTGGTGTGTAAACTTGAATAATCATTATATCTACTTGTCTTCCATTTAGATTTATATGTATAACCCTACATAACAGACAACATTCCTCTTCAAGACAGATTTTGAAAATGTTCTTTTCGATAATGAATATGACAGTATTTTATTTTTAATGTGTCATTTCCAGTAAAGTAAACTATGTAATTGTCCAACTCTAATGTCCAATGTCAGTCAATTTCAGCTCATTAATGCTAAGGTTATCAATCTTTGTGAATTCTTTTCATTTGTGATGACTTCCTATATTCCTAGCTTCATGCTTTGAACATTCCACATCCCTCTTACTAAGGAATGTTTGCAGCTGTATCGATGTGTACCTCATGAACATAAGAAGATTCCCCAAAGCTTTTCTCCATCACATCATTAAAATTGACTCTACTTTGAGTCATATTTTGAGTGTCTTCCAACCTGAGAAGTTCATCTTTTGGTGTTACATCAGATGATATTCCACTGCTATGTATAAGCTTTTCAGTGATGCCTCAGAATGGACAGTCTTTTCTTTCTTTGTAGTCTGTTCATATTCAGAAAGCTCCACTGAAGCCTGGTCACCATGGTGACCCTGCTGGTATTTGAAATAGTTTCCAGCATCACAGGAATATACAAGCCACCACATTATGACAAAAGGGCAGATGAGTGGGGTTGATACTGATAGGAATTGAGGATATTGTGATGAGTGGTGGGTCTGATAATGCCGATCCACATTGTATTCTTTTAGCATAGCTATAATATCATTGAAGAGTAAACACAAAACTTTGCTATCAAATTTGTTAACAAAATAATGCACATCCACCATGCCTTAAAAACATGCGATTCACTTTTCTTGCATTGGCACGATGGGTATGTACTGGTTATCAAACAAATACATAAACTATTCTAAGACTTAAATTTACTTGTGTTCATGGAATCCCTGGCTAGCTTAGTGCTCGCTCACTAGTATAGAGTGAAGCAAGAACACTGTCAAATGAGGAGTGCCACATCAGCTGTCACAACTGTTCAATCCTGCGGTGATCATTTACCTACAATAAACAAGGGAATAAGAACAGCTATGTTTCAATATAACTTTATTTAAAGATACTGACATTCTAATTTTAACTTTCAGAGGCTTTTTTTTCTTTCAATGACTTATGAAGGTAAAATCTCTTGTTAGCGCATGAGCTGTCCAAAAGTAGGTTACAAGCCTGCTGGAGTTTGCCCTGATTGGCCAACTTTTGTTCTAAGACTTGGCTTTAAGGAAATATCGTTTGCTTAAATGTATTGTCGATCATAAGCTATTTACAGTAAAAGTTCTGGAGTTATTTGTGGTTGAGAAATAGAATATTTTTCTTAAGAAGATACTAATTCATAACAGTCATGTACACCAGAGCATAGCACAGAAAGTTAGAATCCAACAAATATGTTTCACAAATAGGTTACATAAGTCAGAAGATATTAGCAAACTAAGCACTGCCTTAATGTTTTACATAACTTGAATACCCAAGATCACTGCGCTAATTATAATTAGAGAGTGCAGTGAGTGGTGGGGGTTCTCTGATTCCCCCAAATAATATTTGCATTATTTATCTTGGAAAGAACCCAGGAAACTCCAAATCCTTGACTGTGTGTTAACTGTGTGTTCAACTTTGCAGAACACCAAATTCTGCCGTGCTATGAGCCTTCCAAAGATCATCTAGGAACTACCAGGTTTCATTTCTTAACTGTGCCATGCAGGGTGTCAGAGGCAGCCCAGGAAGTGCAGGACTGGCTGGTGCTCCAGGCCCTCGAGGAGCAAAGGGTCCATCGGGTCCTCCAGGAAGCCCAGGAGTTCCAGGTGCAAAGGTACTCTAATGTTCTCTTCTGATGGCTGGGAAGCATTGGCCATCCTTACTGACCTGAGTTTAATGGCTAGATCACAGGATAAAATTAATAGCTTTCAATAAAATTTGGCTAATAGTAAAACCACATTAGGAAAAAAGAAAAGTATGTGGCCTTGACATATTCATCGTCTGTGATAGCCACAGAGCATGTAGCTTGCCAAAAGAACGGCTTAACCCAGGACTGGAAATGCTTTTAAAAACGCTGTCATGACTCATCGTGGCTCTTCTCTCTCCGTCCTGGGCCTGCTCCTCCAAAACAGAGCAAGCGTATGTGCTTCCACATGTACACTTACTCAGTCGCACCTCCTTTCTTCCACGTTTGAGCCTAATCACCCAGGAAGTGTCTCTGATAACAATATAGATTATTTCTTAGAGTCAGAATGATAGCAACTAAGTCTTGCATTAGCATTCAATGCATGTAATATTGTCCTATGGCATTAGGCTTTGAAGACAAAACCTCTCTTAAAAGTATTGGCTTTGATTTCTTTAATTCTAAACTTTTATGAAATAATTCTACACCCTGAACTACACTTTAGGTTGTCCGGTGTCTTATTCTTAAAAGCCTTAGGATTAAGGTCTTGGCATCCTCATCATTATTACCCCTTATCTTGATTTTTATAGTTCTACTTACAGAGAATTTCCAGATAGTCTGATTTATAGGGATAAACTGAAAATGGCAACCTAGCTACTTACTGTTTCCAGTTTGAACCTTCTCTTAATAATTGCACCACAAATATTCCTTTCCACCAAACCCAAGGCAGATGAACAAATGCCAAAACTAGGAAAAAGAAATATGAGAAAAATCACTGCCTCTTACTGTTTTTCAGTAAAAAGATCAATATCCATCAAGTTTCAAAGTTATAGCTTTGTCTGAATACAATGAAGTATAACTTATTAATCCTAAAGACACTATTATCCAAGCCCACAAAAGATCATTTTTTACAAGCCTACCTCCAAACTCCATCTGATCCCTAACTTTAATTGCTAGAAATGACATGAAAAATGTTCCAATTCCCATTTCAAAAATAAGACTAAATTTAAGACTGATACCTTTGAAAACTGAAATAATAATAAGTACGTGTATCATTAAATTTACCTTTCAGAAATAAAGAAGAAAATATACTATATATCGGAATAACATTGGGAACTGAAAAGAAATGGAAATGATGCAATTGAAAAGATGATCCTGGCAAAAACCAGGATTTATACTTTAAGGGGCCATTCTCTGTTTATGAATCACACAACTGAATCACTTTGGGTAGGAAGGAAAAAGAGCAAATATCAGTTCAAATAAAACATCAGTTCAAACATAGGTCAGCCACTCCCCCCTCCCCAGGCCCTTACCATTCTCTCAGCAGCCCCATCCTCCTTTCCCACTGGGTCGCTGGTCCTTCCTTCTTCCAGATGTCTCATTAGAGTCTCTGGAAATTGTTGTCCCCACTGCTACCCTTCTTGGACATTATAATTAAATGCTACATATGTAAAAAGCATTGTTGATAAGATGAGTTGGCAGAATTTGATCTTCCCAGTGCCTAATAGTATACCTCCCTAAGGAATCCTGGTGGCACCGTGGGGTAGACATTGGCCTGCTAACCACAAGATCAATGGTTCAAACTCACCAACACAGCTCGAGAGAAAGATGGGACTGTTTGTTTCCATAAAATTTCACAGTGTAACTTATGACAAAACTATAATAATTTATGAATTATGAAGGGTTCATGAGGGAGGGGAAGTGGGGAAGGAGGGGGAAGATGAGCAACTGATATTAAGGGCTAAAGTAGAAGGCAAATGTTTTGAGAATGATGAGGGCAACAAATGTACATATGTGCTTGACAAAATGGATGGATGTATGGACTGTGATAAGAATTGTACGAGCCCCCACAATAAAAAAATTTTTTTTTAATTCACAATCTCTGAAACCAAAATATGGCCATCATGAGTCAAAATCAACTTGAGCAAAGATATATATGTATATGTTGTCTAGGGATTAGTCTCTTTGAGATGCATCTGAATGCTTTCATATTTATAGATTCTAAAATTGGGATCGTTTTTTCTTTTTTTCTACCCAAAGGGTGAACAAGGGCTACCCGGACAACCTGGAATGCAGGGTAAAAGAGGTCACAGAGGAGCACAAGGTGATCAAGGACCACATGGAGAGCCTGGCTTGAAAGGGCAACCTGTATGTGCCAACTTAATAACTCTGCAAGTACTTATTTTACAGAACAGGCCACCATTACACAATAACGGTTATCATGTCTCTTCACATTGCAGGGAGAACATGGTGTTCAAGGTTTAAGAGGGTTCCAAGGATTCCCAGGTCCTAAAGTATGTTTACATATTTCTGCTCGTCTTTTAGATATCTAGTAGAAAAAAAGAGATGTTAAAATACCAGTACTTCATTTCTTGACTTGAACTCTTTTTAACCCAAAAAATGTCAGTACAAAGAGTTGGGTTTTTTTTATTAATATGTTCATTTTAAACCTGTTACTAACTAGACATTGTGCTCACAAATGTATTCTATAGTTTGCTTTTGTTCTCTTTCATTGCATTATTTCAAATATTTTACTATTAAAATTCGCAAAAACTCAGCCAAGTTGAGGGAATTTCTAGTGAGCATGTACACACCCATTACCTAGATTCTACAATTAGCCTTTTACTCTGTTGACTTTATTATGTGCCTCTGTATCCCTTCCACTACCTTCTTCATCTATTTTTGGTAGGGGAAGGGGGTGCATTTCATACCTTGGTACAAACCAAAGCAAAAAACAAACCAACCCACTACTGTGGAGTTGATTCTGAGTCATAAAAACTCTCCAGGAGAGAGCAGAAATGCTGCATCGAAGGTCCAGAGCTGTGATACTTACAGAAGCACACTGCTACATCTTTGTCCCACAGAACAGCTGGTAGGTTCAAACAGCGCTCCACTTGGTTAGCAACCAAGCACTTACACACACTGCCACAAACCTTCCCCAACAGAGTGCTCCTAAAAGACTGTGGCATGCAGATCCCTCCCTACATTTCATTTTTTAAGAATAAACTCTTCATAGGTTGGTGAGAGATCATTTCGCTTGTAAAATGCCCATATAAGCTAAAACTTTTGACTTTTGAAAAATTGTATTTCTAGGGTCCTAATGGAGCTGCTGGAATTGTTGGAATATCAGGTCCTAAAGGTCCTATTGGAAAAAGCGTGAGTATAAAGTCATTCTGCCTACCTGTAAAATGTGGTTCGTGGCTTACTTAGGACTCAGGGTAAAAACTTTAAAATTACTCCAAGTTACTAATATTATAAAATGACTTTTAAGATAGAAATTATCACTAGGTCACAGTGAGAGATTTTCAAACTTTGTACCTACATCAGAATAAAGAACTTTCTTAGGCACTTTCTATACCAGGCATTCCTACGTTTCACATTTTTAAAAAGGACTCATCAAAATTACTACGAAAAGTTTATAATGTATGTATTGGCTCACCCCAGGAATTAAAACATAAAATCTTTTTATAAGCGTTTGCACAATCACAGACCACCCCAGTGTACCACCTGGGGGAGGCCTGCCTCTGGCCGCCGTTCTGCAGGCCGGCCGGCATTTGAAAACTAGTTCCTCCCCGTTATCTGCGTTTTCCCAGCCGGAAGTGAATGTCTCAGGAGAGTGATGAGGGGCTGCTCCACGAGTTACAAGGACCGAGATCTGGAGAACTCCAATTATGGGTTTATATCCTGGGGCTTCCAATTGTGGAGAATACACAATAAACAAGTCTATGTATTATTTTAATTTTATTTTCTGGTTTGTTTTTGCTTTTATTATGCACAGCCTCCTAATTGATGAGATGATCTATAAAACGGAAGAAAAATAAAAAACCATAAAGTTTCTAACGGTAGTTTGGTTTTAGTAGCAGCATGTTTATGACTAACAGCAGCTGTTAGGATAAAGTGGCGAGAGGGAGGGGGAAGATCAAGTACAGAAAGATGGGAAGCAGTTCAGATGCAGAATAAATGGTTGAATAAGATCTTCAGAAACAGAAGATCTGATTCTGCTTCTTGTACACAATATGAAAGGAAAAGTGAAATTTTTGAAATCCTACACCCCTTCCCTTTTACAGTAAATCCCTTTCAATAACACAAAGAGCAATGTTGTCATGGGAAAGCTTTCAAAGACCCAACTCAACATTTCTTCAGGTATAAATGTATTAGTTATTTTTATGATTTCAGAAGAACTGTGAAAAGTTGGTGCTTTTCTGCAAAGTTTGATTCTTGATTATCCACAGGTGATTTTATAGATGGCTAGGCTTCTCAGCAGTAGAGGGAGCCCTGGTAGCACCATGACTAAATGTGTGGCTGATAGCCAAAGGGTTGGCAGTGTGGACCCACCAGCTGCTTCATGAGAGAAAGATGTGGCAGTTTGCTTCCATAAAGATTTAGAGCCTTAGAAACCATATGGGGCAGTTATACCCTGTCCTGTAAAATCACTGTGAGTCATAATCAACTTGATGGCAGTGGTGATTTGGGGGGCGGGGGGGGGTGGTATAGAAAATATTGCCTTTAAGTTCTTATTTATAATAAGTTACCCCACAAATTTAATCCATTCATTTTTGTTTTATTAATTCTCAGTTAATTGAATCCTTTCATGATATTGCCAAAAAGAAGTTGGCTTCCTGCCTACCACCTGTCCTAACCAGAGAATCATAGAGTGTGAGGTCTTTGGGGATCATAGTCTGGGCTTGTGTTACTCTGCTTGTCCAGAAGTCTAATCAGTTCACAAATGGCAAAGTTCTGCTAATTAACTCACACATTACTAATTTGTAAGTGCAGTTATTTCTTTATTAAGTAAATATTAATTGAGCAAAAAATTCCAATCAATTAATATTTGTCAAGAGACTATTGTGCACCAGATATTGGAGTTCAATACGTATCCTTTGTCTCACCTCATCCTCATAAAGATGTGTGGGAGAGATTGTTAGTGAGGAATGTAAGTCTTTGAAAGGCAATTTGCTGAAGGTCATAAATGGCTAGAGCAATGGTTCTCAACCTCCCTATGCCACGACCCTTTAATACTATTCCTCATGTTGTGGTGACTCCCCAACCATAGAATTATTTCCATTGCTACTTCATAACTGTCATTTTGCTACTGTTATGAATCGGATGACCTCTGTGAAAGAGTTGTTTAACCCCCAAAGGGGTCACGACCCACAGGTTGAGAACCGCTGGGCTAGAGTGTAAAGCATTCAGAATTTGAAACCACATCAAATTGACTTCATTGTATGATTAAAATGATATGTTAGACAGTTGCTCAGTGACTGTAAAATTAAAATGTAAGATTCATAATACTGAATGGCCTATTGCTTATTTCTATACCTAGCACATTTAATCTATCAGTAAATATTTAATTAATTAAAACTAGGAAATCTGGATTAATTCTTCTCAATTACAAAGATTCATTTACATAGATAACTGGTACCAGCTATTAAAATAATCTTTTCTACACGTATAGATAAACTTAGAAATTATTTGCTTTGGGGGTAGCTTCATCTAGATGCCTTGTGTCATGGATTTAATTGTGTCACCAAAAATATCTATCAGCTTGGCTGAACATGGTGCTCACTGGAGCATATCTAAGAGCTGAGAACCTCTTAAACCCAGGGAAAGATTGATGCCAAGTCACATAAATGTCCCCAAAGAACCTGGGGCCCAGAGGTTTTGAAAGGAAACACGGACTTTTTCCCGTAGCTAACAGAGACAGAAAGCTTTTCTCTAAAGCTGGCACCCTGAATTCGAACTTCTAGCCTCTTAACCTGTGAAAGAATAAATTCCTGATTGTTAAAACCATCCACTTGTGACTTTTCTGCTATCTCAGCACTAGATAACTAAGCCCGAATTTGGTGTCAGGAGTGGGGTGCTGCCCTAACAAGATCTAAAACATGGAAGCGATTTGGAATTGGGTAATGGGTAGAGGCTGGGAGAGTATTCCAGGGCCTCCTAGTAAGCGCCTAGATTGCCTGGTAGAGACTGTGTGGTATCATGGACAGCAGAGGCAATTCCAGTGAGGGCTCTCAGAAAGTGAGGCGACCTCGAACACCAGAAACAGTGAAACGGCAAGCAGCAGCAGCAGAGAAACAACAGCCACAGCACCAGGACATGTGCAGGATGGCCCTGGAGCTTTCCCACGGAGCAAGAAATGTAAGTGTTTTCAGACAGAGGACTTTCTAGTGGAGTAAGGAGACTCTGGGCAATTGTTGACAGAGCTAGACTTGCTGCCATACAGAAGGAGAAACCGAGCCCCTTCAATCCAAGGCTTATTGGTAAAATGGAGTATTTTCAGGCCTTTATAAGAAGAGCTGAACAGCTTTATAACACTTACCTGAGCAAGGCTTGGGCTAAGCTGGCCCTAGAGGCCAGAGATAAGAGGTCAAGGAACCAGGAAGCAAGACTAGTAGCACAGGAAGCAGAGTTGCCCTTGTTTCAAAGGGTAAGGCCACAATCTATGCAGTCTTTCGACCGAAAAAGCAATGCTGTCTTGAGAACATTTTTAAAGACTTTACTAAACATCACAGCATGGAACCATGGTCTTCTGTATCTTAAAGGGTGAGCCAATGGCCTCTGAGGTGTCAAAGGATGTGGTCACAGCTTCTTGGGTTTAAAACAATCAGATCTTCACCAACTCAGTTCTCAAGTGTGAAGCTGCTATTCAAGAGTACAATGTGGATGGGACTGGATCTGCCGCCCAGCGCCGAGAAAGTAGGACTGCCAGGGTCAACGGACAAAAAAACAAAACAGATTGTTGGGACTACAGAGGTAGGGGCACACGACTCAAGTGGAATAAGAGGATGTGACCCACCAAAGCCAAGGGAGCAGGGCTGCCTCCCCAGGGACTTTGGGAAGCAGAGCTGAAGATGATGCTGAAGAGCCTCTCTCCACAAAGCAGAAAGCATAGCCAACACCCGAGATCCAGAGGGTAAGGCCATTGCTAGAGGAAGAGTCTCAGAGAGCAGCCGGTTGTTGTCGATCCTTGTGAACTAATTGTAAATTGATTTACTGTGAGTGTGGGGTTTTTTATTTACTTGGAGCCCATTATTCTCTCTTCCTCTTTAATTTCTCCCATTTGTAATAGAAATGCCTGCCATTGTTGATTGTACCATTATATTTTGGAAACAAATAACTTGTATTCTAGATTTCACAGATTCATGGATAAATTTAGTACTTGGACTAAATAGAATAGAATTTGGACTTGGAGTTAATTTAAGACTTTGGAGATGATACGGTGGAATGAAAATGCTTTGCATGGGGTAAGGACATGAGTTGTGGGAGAGCCACAAGGTGGAATGTTATGGATTGAATTGTGTTCCCCCAAAACACATGTCAACTTACCTGCACCATGCTTCTCAGTGATTTGACAGTTGTGTAATGATGTAAGGCTGCAGTCATGCAATGATGCAATCATTTCTCACAATGTGATCTACTGTGATCAGCAATCCTTTATTTGAGTATTAGGACAGGATGTAACACCTTAACTCAGGCCACATCGTGATCTAATGTAAAGGGTGCTTCCCTGAGTGGTGACTTGCATCACCTTTTATCTTCAAAGAGATTAAGGATAGACAAGTGAGCAGAGAAGGAAGGGCCGCCAAGAAAGAAGAGACAGGAGTGGAGTGGAGGTCCAGAAGTGGAGCCAAGGACCCTGTGCTGAGAACCTCCTGGTACCAGTGAAGATTAATGCCAGGACACATGGAGATCTCCAGGAAACTTTGGGACCACAGATTTTGAAAGGAGGGAAAGAACTTTCACTAGAATCAACAGAGAGGAAAAAGCCTTTCCCGTAGAGCTGGCACCCTGAATTCAGATTTCTAATCTCCTAAACTGTGAGAGAATAAATTTCTCTTTGTTAAAGCCATCCTCTTGTGGTGTTTCTGTTAAAGCCCTGGAGATACAGTGATTATGTGTTTGACTGCTAACCACAAGGTCAGCAGTTTGAAACCACCAGCTGCTTTGAGGGAGAAAGAAGGGCTTTCTACTCCTAGAAAGAGCTACAGTCTCAGAAACCCGCAGTTTCCCACAGTTCCACAAGAGCAGTTTTATCCTGTCATTTAGGGTCACTATGAGTCAGCATCAACTCAATGGCAGTGAATTTGGTTTTTAGTTTCACATTAGATAATTATGACACCATGCATGCTTTTCCATTCTTTTAATGCATTGTTATTTCACAAAGTGAGGACATAGTTTGATTGTTTAGCTTGATGCTTCCTTGACAATAGTTTGGTGATAAGTCAGTCTAGAAGATGCATTTTATTAGATTAAAAGAAATCAAATTCCTTTATTTCAAAATAGATCTTTGAAATTCAGCTACCATATTTATAAACTATCTTTGTAAAAAGATATTATATGAGATATTTTTACGGTATCATGTAATTCTAGGTCAACTTAATATTAAAACTATGTCAATTACTTTAGGAAAGCTACCAATAAACAACATTATAATTATATTATTTGGTGGTATTTTCTATGCCTCTGCAACAGTTGGGGTGGTGGGGGAAGCCAGCTAGATAATCTACATTATCTAAGGATGGAGGCTTAATAATATTCATTGTCATTGAGAAGTGATAGGAGCCATACCTAATTTGGGCAGAGTTGACCTGAAGTCCAGCTTACTTGGTTATCTTCCTAACCAAATAATAGTTTCCAGGTTAAAAAGTGCATCTCATATTTAACAAGCCTTCTAAGTAGACATTCTTCTTTCCACATTATAGATGGAGAAACTAAAGTTTAGTTCTCCCATATAATACTCTGAGTGCTCTCCAGAGTCTCTTTCTATTCCATGCTGCATGAGGTCACACAACTGCTCATTCCACATCTTTGAAGAAATGTAGTCACCAATTCATCCTTCTACATTGTGCTTTATATGTAAAGTAACTCACTTTTATGTAAAGACATCATTGATGTTATCACTGTATAAAAATGAAAATGTCAGTTTATCAGCCTATTAGGGATTAAACAGCTGGAACTCTCTGATACAGGAAACTATAATAAGCTATAATAACATGCAGAATTGTGTCATTGTGTGGATGAAAATTATTGCTGTTTCCGATAATGCTATACAATTTTATAATAAAAACTATAATCACATAGATGTGGACTATTTTACTTTAGCACAAGATATTTTCTGGATTTTTTTTTCAGAATTATAATGAACTGAGACTGGCTTTTTTGTTTTACCCCAACAGGGAAACAGTGGTCCACTGGGCAGAGAAGGTATCATAGGCCCAACAGGTAGAACTGTAAGTTAGTCACACTACGCATCTTTTTTTTCTTTCTCATGCTCTCTCTGTTGTTTTTAATCCTGCTTCTAGAGCAATCCACAAAGGACCAGTCTGGGTATTTGAGAAGCAAAGGGCAAAAATAGCTGTATGTTTTCTCTTGAATGGTGATTCCTTCAAACTTAGAGATCAATTTGATAGTGAAGAAAGTAAAATTTTCCAGTGAAGGAGGTACTTAAAACTGAATTTGAGAAGGAAAAAAAAAAACTGTGCAGATGGTTTGAACATAATACACATATAGATGATAAATAGTACTGGGTGGTTTTGAGCATCATAAACATACAGGTGATCATTAAAGCCAGGAAAAATGGATCCGCTTTCTGAAGACCAGCGAACAATGAATAGACAGACAAATTAGATCCTTCAGAAGTACTTGGTATAAATTAAAAGAAGAAATAATCCATGGGGTACCAGAACATCCTGCAAGAACAAAGCTGGATAGATGAGTTCTTGAGGAAAGAGTAGTCATCTTTGAGAGTAAGTTACAGCAGAAAATGAAAGTACTGATTGCAGTGAAGAAAAAAGAAGATTAAAATACTTAACAATAGCTTCTCAGATTCTCACAGCTAACTTTGGAAAAGATATTCCCATTTAACGGGTGAGGAATGAGAGGAGTTTCATAAGATTTCACCTCATCATTCACGGTGATATACCTAATGAATTACATAACTGATATTTATCGCAAAACCATTCTATTCTAGCAATGTCTAGAAAGAAAACAGAGGCAATGTATGCCAGTTCTTGTAGAAATTTGGCTAAGAAGTAATGCAGGGAAATAAGACAAGGATTGGGGGTGCAATGAGTCCATTGGAGAGCATACAAGAGAAGAACACAATAAGAGGCACCAAATTTAGACTTGGTAAGGAAAGATTCATTCCTTACAAGAAATAAGTAGTTTGGATTTTTTGAAAGTGTTGTGTGTAAACAAAAAGTGTCTAAAACTTTTTAATGGAATGCATCAAATATAAAGGACAACCATTCTCTTTGACAAATTGAGAAAACAATTCAACATGAAAGTTCCTATATTTTTAAGGCAAAAAAAAAGTGTAGCTCAGCATTTCACTAGGTTTTTAGCATTTGCCACTCAGATTTATATGCTCTAAATGGGAGAGTGTAAGTGGGAGATTTCTCATATTTCAGTGGGTGGTTTTTCAGCAAGCTAAGGAACACATACTGTTCTGATTACTGAATGGTTGTTCTCCACTCTGAAAAATGTGAAATATTAACTAGTCAAGGAAGTTGTGATAAATAAATGTCTCAAGTAAAATACCGTGCTGTTCTGTTTACAAGTATGTAAAGGCCGTATAATATTTAGCATGCACATCAATTTTCTCTCTGGTAACATTCTAAAAAGAAACTTCTAAGAAAAGTTCATTGTAAGAGAAAGAGTAGTTGAGAATATCCCACAGGAAATAGTGGTGGCAACTAAGAGAGTTTGTTTTTCCAAGTAAGAAAGCACCCTACAAATGCATCCTAAATAAGCAATAAACTAGACTGTGGGCAAAGAAATAAACAAATGGAACAGAGGACAGCCCAGAAATAGAATTCAGAGTATGTAGCAACTTATGAATAACAAAAACATTCATTAGAATGTCCATTAGAATGACTTGGTCTGCATGTATTAAAACCCAGACTCAAACTAGCTTTGACAAAAAAAATTGTGGGAGCATGCACAGACAACGGAAGAGTTTCAGACTTGGTTGATTCTGTGAGTCGACATGTTAGCCTAATCCTGGTTTCTTCCGTATTTTCACTCTGCCGTCCTGAATTGCAGTCACCTTGCTATAATCTAAAAGCTGCACAGGTAATCAGGTGCTTATGAACATGATGTACACAATCATGCACATGGTTTTGTACACAATGACTGTAGTTTGGGGGTTGGGTCACTTCTAGACAAAACATTATCTAAAACTAAAACACTATCTATGGCTGTATCTTGAGAAAAAACTTTTGTTTTCCTACAAGTCTCTCATTGCATTTGTATCTGGCTGACAAGCATGGAACTGCATTGCTGTAAGATACCATCAAGTCAGTTCCTTCTCGGAGTGACCCTGTGTCTAACAGAACCAACCACCACCCCGGCCTGTGCCATCCTCACAATTGTGTGAGTCCATTGTTGCAGCCACTGTGTCAATCCACTCTGTTGAGAACCTTCCTCTTTTTCGCTGCCCCTCCACTTTACCAAGGATGATGTCCTTCTCCAGGGACTGGTCTCTCCTACAAGATGTCCAAATTACATGAGCCGAAGTCCCACCATCCTTGTCTCTCACGAGCACTCTGGCTGTTCTTTCTCTGAAAGAGATCTGTTGGCTCTTTTGGCAGCCTATGGTACTTGCAGTATTCTTCGACAGCACCCTCGTTCAGATGCCTCAATGTTTCTTCAGCCTGGCCATCTCTAAACCAGTTGTCAGAAAAGGGAAATTGAGTTAATTTGAGTCATACTACTGCTGTGAGAAATTAGAGTCCTACTTCACCTTCACCACAAAAATATGCCCCTCTTAATTTCTAAAGACTTTAACATAAAAATTGTCAAAAGAATAAAAAACTTAAGAAAATAATCTAGGAAACCAATATGTTGTTTAAGAGTTGAAGAGATCTTTTGTAAAGAAACAAAAATCTGTAATATACAAAGAGCTCTTAGAAATTCATATGAAAAATTAAAACTCATATCAAAAATGAGTAAAAGGTCTGTATAGGTTATTTACAAAAAAATACAAAAGTATCTAAATGATTTGAAAAATCAATACATTAGGTCTATTATTTAAGAAGATGCGCACCATTATAGCAATGCAAATTAAACCAGTTATAGAGTTAATAAAATATATATGTAAACTCTCTTAAGAACATGTAGGAAAAACTTTCATTTATTACCGGTGGAAGTGCAAATATAGCCTTTTTGGAACTATATTGTTAAAAATGTAAGTACACATCCCGTTTAATCATGAACCTGATAGCACAATGGTTAAGCACTGGGCTGCTGACTGAAAGATCAATGACTTGTACCCACCAGCCAAGCTGATGGAGAAAAGACCCAGGTATCAACTCTCATAAAGCTTCCAACCTAGCAACCCCCGTGACGCAGTGTCTTATACGGTTGCTATGAGCCAGAATTCATGCAACGGACCACCACAACAATAACCCTTCAACCAAGCATATCCACTTTGAGGAGTTCATCCCATAGAAATGCAAACACCAAAATGCTAAGAAAACTTTGCAAAACTTTGTATTGATTCATGCCACGCACTATCACTCTTCAACATGGTTAGTATTTTTAGCTTGGAAGATTGACAAAGAATAATAATATGTGGTAAGTATTGAAATATACACACTCATATATTTGAGATGTCAGCACAAATTCTTACAAACTTTCTGGAGGAAAATTTTTATCACCAGTTTTTAAAAGGACAAGAAAGCGTATCACAAGTTTATTTATAATGACACAAATTATCCCAAAAGTAATTAAATAAAAATATGCTAGTCTTTAAACATTAAGTGTTAGCAATATTCAGAGCATGTGAATTGACACGGGAGAATAGTCATATTGTGAATGCATAAACAGATTCCTGAAGGAGTTTCATAGTAAATACATGTATAATTTCCATGAGCATCAACACCAAAAATATTAATAGGAGTTTCAAAAGTAGTTGAGCTACCCAAGAAGAGAATACACATTGCTTTCAAGTAGTCATGGAATATTTGCTAATCTGGAACATACTTGGGGTCATAATATAAATTTTAACCGATTTTTAAAACCAAAGTCATTCAAAGTATGATCTAGCTGTAATGGAATTAAACTTGAAATCAATAACAAAACAATTGTAGGAAAATTCCCAGGCACTTGAAATTAAACTGCACAGTTCTAAGTAGTCTATGTAGCAAAGAGAAAGTCTGAAAGGAAGTTAGAAATTATTTTGAGCTGGATGAAATGTATTTACAATATATGAAAATTTGTGAGATGATGCTGAAACTAAAAAGGAGTAAGAAAAGGTGAGAGAGAAGAAACCACCTTAGAAACAGGGTTTTCGATTATAAGGAACTATGTGTGACCTCCTCCCGGGGGGACAGACAACAGAAAAGTGGGTGAAGGGAGACATCGGACAGGGCAAGATATTACAAAATAATAATTTATAAATTATCAAGGGCTCATGAGAGAGGGGGCAGCGGGGAGGGAGGGGAAAAATGAGGACCTAATGCCAGGGGCTTAAGTGGAAAGGAAATGTTTTGAGAATGATGAGGGCAATAAATGTACAAATGTGCTTTACACAATTGATGTATGTATGGATTGTGATAAGAGTTGTATGAGCCCCTAATAAAATGATTTTTTTAAAAAGAAACAGGGTTTTCAAAGACTGAATGAAATAGTACAAGAATTTAGCCTATTCATTTCCTCTCTAAACTATTTTGTACATAATTGTCAAATCTGCTGCTTGAGATAATGGAAGGAAAAAGTAGCTTTTTATGCCAGGCCATTTTAATATGGGACTAGCAATAGCAAAACAATGGCATAATGAATTGTGATGATATTGGTGTTTTGATTTGTTTTGCTTTGCTTTACTTAGGGAGAAAAAACTAGAATTTAAATTAATTAACAACCACAACACACAAAAAAGTTACAAAAGACCTAGGTCTTTTCTTCATAGTCACAGAAGACAAATTCTCATGTTTCTGTGTACGACCTCAACCACACTGAAGTAACTTCCTTCTTCTTCTTCTTTTAGGGAGCCAGAGGTGAAAGAGGCTTTGAAGGTGAAGCTGTAAGTTTAACTAACTTTGTGCTTATTCGTATTAGAACTCTAAGTTCCAGCAAAGACCTGGTCTGATTTGTTCACTATATGTCTCTGACATTTGTACAATGGACATGAAATTATAATACTTCTCAGGAAGTAACACTAACCTAATCAGAGTGAGCTCGAAGCTAACTAAAAATCTGCCAGTCATATCCTTGACAGCTTGCCATGTGGAAATAAGGAGGTAACATATTTTAGGAGACCATGATATTTTAGATGCAATGCCCACGATGCCAGCCAGTATTCTGAAGAGAGCAGCAAAGCAGAAGCAAATCATAGGTTTTACAGCACAGCCCACTGGACACATTAGTGGTAAGAGGACGGACAAAGGGTAAAGAGCCAGCACTTTCGGGACCTAACTGGTTTACACTAGCACCATTTGCCTCATTTCTGGAATGCCGCTGCTTAAGCACTGGAGGCATTTTGTAAAGGACCATTTTCCAGCAAAGAGAGTGGCAGCCTTACTAGAAGCCACTGTTATAAATACAGGGCAACTATGGTGTGGAGTGAGAGGGATTGAGACCAGAGGCAGAAGGCTCGAACAACTCCCCCACCCCACCCCCCCAAAAAAACTTAAAGATAGAAATAAAGTCTTAATTTTAAAAAATGAAATTACTAACTGACAGCTGAGGGTTTGTTTTTTTCTCGCCATAGAGTGTGCTTGTGACTCCAAAGTAGGAGTTGTAATTATATTTATTCTCTGCAGTGAAAGTAAGTTACACAATTCTAGATAACCTAAGAATGCTAAAAAGACATTAAAATCAATTTTTTATTTTCAGAAGCATGACCTTTGCAATTTCTCATCAGTTGCACTGTAGCGGGAAACAAGGCAATGTGTACAAGTGAAGCCATATACCAGAGGAGAAGGGAGAAAGGAAATTCGAGAGGCTTGGAACTTAGCTCATTTCCCTTCCCTGTCTAGTTCTGAATGCCTACCCAACCTATCCTCTTAAAATGTTGTGGCTGATACCTAAACTCCCATCAGGGTTAGGAAACCTTGAGTACTTATGGGAATGAGCAAAGCATTTTGGGGGCGCGGCAGGGTGGTTTGCAGGGGTTGGACAGATACTGTGTTAGACAGGGTTCTCTAGAGAAACAAAACCAGGACATTTATGATGATAGATAGATTATAGATGATAGATAGATAGATAGATAGATAGATAATAGATAGATAGATAGATAGATAGATAGATAGATAGATAGATAGATAGATAGATAGCACAGAGGAATATAATAGCTAATTAATCCACACATCAGTACAGAGGGCTCAGTTCAACTCACTTCTGTGAAGTAGTTAATATACTGCAAGTCCTTCAACTCACAAGGGCTGCTGGTCCAAGGTCAAGGAAGCAGACAGCTGAGTCTTCCCTCGGGTAGTGCAGGCAGTGTGGCCACAGGCAGCAAACAGCAGAGCACGTCACCAGCAGTCAGGAGCTCAGGAGCTTAGCAAAGCAGGCTGGGATAGGATATCGAACTCAAGCATTGCAGGACAACAGGATCCGCCAGCCTCCAGCTCAAGCGCTGTATAATCAGCAGCGTGGGGAAGCAGGTCCAAAGGAAGTTCAAGCTCTAGCAACAGGATCCACAGGTTGGCTGTCCCATGGGCAGTGTAGCTCACAGGTTGAGGCAGGGAACTAGAGAAAGCAGCTGCATGCTGGTCTGATCACCAGAGAGCAAGAGAGAGAGGGGTGGGCCTTGCTGAGCCATTTATCTCTTTACCCTCCAATCAAACCATGACCTTATTAATCCCAGCTGTTCCTATTGGCCTGGTTGGCACAACAAACCTACCTGTAACAGAGGATCTGATGGATTACAAACTCAATGGATGATTACTGTAATCTTAAATTATATTGGTGTGCAATGTCTTGTGCCCAGTCTTCAGTTATTAACTACCCCCTTATTAGACACTTGTTGCCACACTGTTGTTGTTGTTGTTGTTAGGTGCCATTGGGTTGGTTCTGACTCAGAGCGACTGTTTATGCAAGAAGACAAAGCAGCCCAGTCCAGTGCCATGCTGACAATTGTTGTATTTGAGCCGTCATCAGGGGATGCCTCTTTTCACTGCCCATGCATGATGTCTTTTTTCAGGGATTGGTCTCATTCTCGTCTGACATTCCAAAGCTTTGCCATTCTCACTTCTCAGAAGTAGTCTTACTGTACTTCTTCCAAGACAGATTTGTTGGATCTCCTGGTTGGCTGAGGTACTTTCAATATTCTTTGCCAGCACCATAAGTCAAATTCCATTGATTCTTCTTCAGTCTTCCTCATTTAGTGTCCAACTGTCACACGCATATGAGGCGATTGAGAACACCTTGACTTGAGCCAGGCAGACCTTAGTCCTAAGTAATATATCCTTGCCCTTTGACACTTTAAAGAGGTGTTGTGCAGCAGCATGCCCATGCAATATGTTGTTTGATCTCTTGACTGCTGCTTCCATGAGCATTGACTGTGGAGCCTAGCAAGATGAAATCCTTGAACACTTCAAACTTTTCTGATTATGATGATGTTACCTATTGGTCCAGTTGTGGGGATTTTGGTTTTCTTTATATTGATTTACCACACTCTCCTATGTAAAATAGCAATGTCCTCACCTTCATGAGATTGTCTATCTTTCCTTCTTTATCACATTCGGGATAAATCAGGTAGTGTCCACTATTCAAAAAATCTCCCAAGGAGAACATTTACAAATTAAGTCTGTTCAGAGAAGGACTCTCTTAGATCTAAGAGCTATGTCCTGGAAAGACTAGTTGCAATATCTGCACTGTTTGGCCCCTACTAGATTCTCCAGCCTGACCACAGCCCTCTGTTTGTTCTTTCTGCCCTCCTTCCTTTCTAGCCATTGCATCTGCTGTTGGAGATGCCCCCATGCTCTTTCCTTTCACCCCTACTCATCTTGAGGTTTCCATTTACAGTTTCTTTCTTTTAAAAAAATCATTTTATTGGGGACTCTTACAGCTCTTATAACAATCCATACATCATTTGTATCAAACACATTTGTACATATGTTGTCATCATCATTTTCAAAACATTTTCTTTCTACTTGAGTCCTTGGTATCAGTTCCTATTGATTCCCCTCCCTTCCTCACCCTCCCACCCGCATTAACCCTTGATAATTTATAAATTACTTTTATTTTCCTATATTACACTGTCTGCTATCTCCCTTCACCCACGTTTCTGTTGTTTGTCTCCCTGGTGGGGATGGAGGGGGGAGGTTTCTATATCGATCATTGCAATCAATTCTCTGTTTCTCCTCCTTCTCCGCCGCCCCCTCCCCCCTACACACACACACACATTCCTCCTCCCTTCATGGTTGTGGTACTGTTCCTAAGAGTTTTATCTATCCTGGATTCCATGTGTCGTGTGTCCAGAGCTCTTATCTGTACCAGTGTGTATTCTCCAATCTAACCAGATTTGTAATGTAGAACTGGGGTCATTATAGTGGAAGGGAGGAAGCAGTAAAGAGCTACAGGAATGCTGAGTTTCATCAGTGCTATACTGCACCCTGGTTGGCTCCTTCCTTCTTTTTGACCCTTCTGTGGACATCTGAGGGGATGTCCAATTGTCTACAGATGGACTTTGGGTCTCTACTCCAACCCCACTCATTTGCATCGATATGATTGTTTGTTTGGGGTCCCATATAAAGTTTCTTAGGATGGACTTGTTAATATCTGGACTCCACCCTGCCATCACCCCTGAACAGAGTATCCAAAGCTGTATAGTACAATATATTGTCCACCTATTTTTCAAAAATCAAACCTATGTTTCCTCTCTAGGGTAAACTTCATGAGACCAGAAAATTTTGTCTGCTACATTGGCCATCAGTGTCCAAAACAGAACCTGGTTTGTAGTCAGTAATAGCTGATACATGAATTGATAAAATTAATTAAAATTAACTAAAATGAAACAGTTAACAGCTATTTTCAAGTCCAGACTGGTGATGTAACATTTCTTTAAATTAATGTACTTACTTGTTGTTTGTTCAATGGGTCACCCTAGTTCTCTTCACAAATAAAGTAAAAGTCCTGTATGACATAGTACAAACCAAATCACCAAACTCACTGCCATTGAGTTAATGCTGACTGATAGCAAACCCACTGTGTGCTTATGAGGCTGTAACTTTACAGGAGGAGAAAGCTCAGTCTTTCTTTTGCGGAGCTGCTGGTGGTTTCGAACTGCCGACCATGTGGATCGCAGACCAACTTGTAACCACTATTCCACCAAGGCTCTTTTGGGTGTGTTTAGTGTAGGCAATTAAATTACCTGGTTAAAAAAGACTAAATAGCACATTAAAATTATAAATTCACTCTGTTTTTAATTATTGCGTAACTGGTACTAAGGATCTTTTTTGTCATCCCTCTTCCTTGGACTCCGTCATTGTTCCAGAAGCTTTAGTAAAGAAATCTGTTAACCACTAGAGATTGTGCAGCAATAAATTTTGAAAAGGTGCCAACCAATCTTTCTATTTCGGTCTATAGAAAAGTTTGGTAACATTACTTATACTGTCTTTTTCTTTTACTGATTTTTTTTCAGATTTCAGATTTCAGTTATCTTCAAGAGGATAATTTAAATAATTGTCTGGCTAAAGATAATTTACAAATCTGTTAAGACTAATTGTCACTTCACTCTTTGTGCAAATATCAGAATTACAACAATCTTACCAAAGTGTGCTTCATAAATCTTCTTTTTAAATTTTCATCGAAGTTGGTATAAGAATGTATGAAGATATGTTATACAAGTATTGATAAAATTGTATACCAATATCAAAGTGTGACTCAGTGACAAAAAGAAAAAAGTACAGAGATAGTTGCAGCTCATTATAGCATACATGAAAGTAATATTCCTCTAAGAGTGGGTTTCTTCTTAGGAAGCTTGATATAATTTGATACACTGTGGATTCCAATATTGATCTCAATGGTCTTTTTTACCACTGAGGGACCTATTTCTATCATTGTCAAGTGTCAGCGTCT